CATTCTAAGTGCTACTCTATGTAATGGCAGAATTGACTTTGTATTGTAAGCAAGGAGGATGGAAAGCTAATAAAAATAAAATTTTATTTTCTTATTTAGCAAATAGTTTCGCCGAAAGAATCTAGACGGAGGAGAAAATAAAAATAAAATGTTATTGGTGAATGTAAACAATGTTTTAAATTTATATGATTAGGAATTAATATACATGTCTTTGATTTTCAAGGCAGCAGGAGGCATAGTGGTGGGTGCGTAATTGCGGTAAAATAAAATTTTATTTTTATTTGAAATCATCATTATTGGCGGCAACAGGTTCTCTAAACAAGGTATAAAAAAGTTCGCCCAAGGAGCGGAAGGTGTTGCGCTTTGTGGGAATTTGTGGATCCAAAGACCAGGGGTGATAATAAGAATAATAATTCTTTAATTGTCCTCATTTTAATTGGAAATCGTTGGGCCCAGGGCCTCTGGAAATGCGCGGCAGCCGCATTGCGTCTTGGTATTCAATTTTTATTTATTTTTTTTTTTTTTTTTATTTTAAGACTTTTTTTTTATATTCTATTTTTTTTTTCTCTTAATATTAATAGTTAATGGCAATTAACCAGCAATTATTGTTCAATGATCTTTTCTACTTTATAGGTAAATATGATGACACTGACTTTGGCAAAACCAAGTAAGTTCTGAAAACTTTCAAAATCGTTCATAAGTTATGGATATTTTTTTAGACTACAGTATTTACATTATACATACTCAAGCTCATTATCATCATCGTCATCATCATCATCATCATCATATTGTTATTATGTTATCATATTTTGATTATCATATTGTCATCACTGTATTGTATAAATTATTCCCATTCATTATCATATTATTATCTTATTATACTGTCATTACTACTGCGAATTACTTTTGACTTACAGCACCTTGCTTTTATTATCTTTAAAAATAAAAAAAAGAGGAAAAATTAAACTTTAAAGCACAACATAATAGCAAAGGTTTATTTTTGTCATTAGGTAGTTTTCGCTGCACGTTAACGTTAGTACCCAACATGCAGCGCGATAGCTCCGCTCCTTTTGTAAACAAAACAAAATATGCATGCTCAAACATGTAACTAACCTACGTCGAGCACGTAAAATCCTGAAATTAACGTACTCTGCAACGCAAGATGAATAAATTATGACGTCATCTGTTAACGTTAAGGTTAACGTCGTGCGGCGAAAACTGCCTATTATATTTTTTAAAAAATATGTGTATCTAATCCAATTCTTCCAGTGATTGACTCAGCTTGATATTTTTTCTCTTTTTTTTAATAGTTTTGAAATTCAAGGATGATTTTGTTGCCAAGGCAAATGTTGTAAGTTTTAAACTTTTAAAGCATGAAATTAATTTTAACCAATCAGACTAATAAATTAACTTACAAATTAAAGACCCATCCAATTGAAGACCACTTCTGTGGTCCCATATAAAACAGATGTTTTAATATCTTTATTCTAATTAGAGACCAAAGTTGCTAAAGCCCACAGAAACCTCGGTCCCAAAAGTGGTGCTTTAAAATAGCCCTAACATCGCAGCGTAGTTCGCGGGTGAAGACCATCATGCATAACTAACCCTGCCATAGATGTGCACGGGCCTATGCTTTTAATTTGTTGAAAAAATTTCAACGTTTGCCGCCAGTATCCTTTTCAGCATTAGCGAACCATTAAGGCAAAATTCTCGGGTGTAATTTCCAATCAATTTGGCATAGTTTACTAGGAATTATAATTATCTTTACAGCAATAAACAAAGGACGGCTGCAATAGCAATCTCAATGTAAAACACCACAGTGCCAGTCGATTGTTTATATCCAACACCCAAATTGGTCACATGACCCCCATCGCCGAATCCTTCTATAGCTTGCACTTATTTATGTTCCTGTATATGTTAATAACTATTATGTATCTCCTTTAGGTCCCTGCAATAGAAATGAGTCAAGCACAGCCAGTACCCCGGAAATTGGAAGAGTCCACGATTTGCACAGTGTGTGAATTAGTTGTCAACGAGCTTGACCGATTGCTTTCGGATAACGCTACCGAGGTACCTAACTTATTTGATAATTTTAAATAAGCTATTTGTAGTTTTAATTAATTATACAAGTTTTTATGATTTTTTTTTTTTAGCCTGAACATTTCATATTCTTTTAAAAATGTTTTTTTGTTTTTTTTGTTCTGCAGGATGAAATTATATCAGCAGTTGAAAAGGTATGCGATCAACTGCCGTCAGCCTTCAAGACTGAATGCAATGCACTTGTGAGCCAGTATGGGGCCGCTCTCATTGAGCTGTTGGTACAGAAGATCAAACCCGACGAAATCTGTATGAAACTCAATCTTTGCACTGGCAAAGGTATGTGTAACATTCATATCTTATCAGGCAACCCATAACGAAGATGCCTTGCACTACACAAGTAGTGAAAGCGGTTGGCGCAACGGTTGTATTTTGGTCTTTTCAGCCTCAACGTCGGGATTTAAACCTTTGTTTAGACTTGTCAAAAGTTCCTTATTATTTTTTTCTCATTCTGGACAGCGCCACCAATGAGCAAGTTAATTTTGAGACAGAATAAGGGACTTGTGTTAAAAACACTGCATGCAGGTACCCGGATGCAAAAATAATGTATAATTCTGTATTTGGATAAATGTGCGGAGCGACATAAATGATATCAACCAATCACTATGCTCACATTTTCAAAGCAATGATCGTGTACATAAACTGAGTCACGTCTCGCGTCAACTAGTTAGGCATGGCTAAAAATAGTCTCCCCTAATAGAAAGGACCTAATGGAATAGACCCTAGACGAGTAGGCAATGGCAAAGACGATAAGCTTAGGCTAGATGGCCTATATTACAACGTACAGCACAGCTTTCAGGGAGAATAGCCTACTAGACCTCTAGAGTCTGACACTGGTAGTAGTAGTAAAAAGGGGCTTGGTGGGCCCACTTTTAAGTTCTTACTTAATAATACAGTACCTTTTTAACAATGCTCCACAGTATGCAACCTAAATCTGTGTAGCTTAGTGGTGAGCATTGTTATCTGTAAGTTATAACTGTTATCATTCCATTACATCGCTCAGCAGACCAAGAACTAATTTACTAACTAAATTAATTTAAGTAGGTACGCAAAAGGTAGCTGCCTAGCTCAGCTGTCGAGACACTGCACATCTTCAATTTGAAAATTACAAAGATTAATTAATATGTAAGAGGTAAGCCAATCACATGACTTACAAAGGCAGTCTTGCATACGATATCACACATCGAATTTGATGTGTTAAATACGCATGAATGATCAGACAGCGTTTGGCCAGGCCCTAATCCGAAAAAAAAAAAAAAAAAATAAATTGAGTATGAGACACCAAATAAATTAGGTATGGCGCGCAATAAGCGCAATAAAAGGTTAGTAACCCAAAATTAGAGCCTGGAACCCAGGCTAAGCTTTGTTGTGTATTTCGTTTGTGTTCTTGGACAAGGCAAAATGTGGGGTGGAAAGGAAATGGCCACCCTACCGACACAATGCCAAGGCTCAGTACGATGGACCAACAACTCATTCCCTTACATTCAGTAATGGATATGAGACTCACTGGTATGCAC